TTTTTAGTTTCAAATCAACGTCGTTCGCATATTCATCAAAAAAGTTCTTTAAAAAATCTTGATGAAATTCTTGAAAATATTAGTAGAATACAAAATCCAACACGTATTTTACATGATATAGCAACACCAGAATTACCTACAACATCAGGACATAAAAATTCAGATATTCTCTATTTAACTATTGGTATTATAGCTGGAATTTTATTAATTTTAATTATTATACTTATTGTTATGTGTATATTAAGAATTTTACAACGAAAAAAATTTATCGGTACATTTTTATATAAAAAATATCGAGATTTTCAATATTAACTAAAAAAAATTTATTTATTCTTTTAGCTCATGTTAAATCAGCAAATGGTTCCGATTATTATTGTGATGGATTACATAAAAATTTAAATCCTGATTATGCAACAACACCTTGTTTACAACATGGTGTTGTTGCTGTTGATGGAAAATTAATACCATTTACTTATCCAACAAATACAAAACAACCTATTCTATGGAATGGACAAAATCCTTTACCACATAGTTCAACAGGAATAACAACAACGGATAATGGTACAATACGTTTAAATACAAATCCAATGAATCGTTTAGAAAATGAAAATACAAATGATACACAAGAAAATTTTTATCATACTTTAACACCATTTAGTACACATAGTCATTATGAAGAACATGCATGTACACATAATCAACCACGTATGTTATAGTCAATAACTTTTTCTCCATCGGTCATGATCATAGTTCAGAAAAATCTAATCTGGTTCCGATCTTAGTTTTTTGAGTCTAGAGAAAACTATTCGAGAACTTATTCGAATTACATGTAAAACAATTCTTCAATACTTGTATTTTGTCGACGACTAAGCATTTTTGTTCCGGTCGAAATAACTTCTTTTTTCCGTAGTCGTACACATAGAGAATATTTTTTTTTATTATTCTAGAACTATAATTAGAATGTTCTTAAATTTTATTTAGCTGTATTTGGTTATACAAGTGAACGTTCAAATGGTCCAACATGTCCACTTCATAATCATCATCATATAATAAATTATCCATCTGATACATTTCCTTTAAAAACTTCTTTAAATAATAATAATAATAATAAAGATACTTTAACAAATAAAAAAATCAATGGGATTGTTTTATCATCACAACAAACAAATGGAATACAATTTCATCATTTACATCATCATCATGCAACATGTCAACGACATCAAAAATCTAAACTTATAACAACACCAATTGTTAATGAAAGTATGAATTTATTTTATTTTATTTTATTTTATTTTGTTAATTAAAAAAAACAAGCAAATTCTTATTTTATCTATAGATGATCAACAAAATGATTTATGTGATCGAAGTTTTTCATCATCATCAGCTGGTGGTGCTGGACATTATTGTACACATTCATCAAATGATTCAACACGTCCATTAATTAATTCAATTCCTCATCAACAAACAAATGATAATAATAATAATAATAATAATAATAATAATGAAAATTTTAAACATTCAGCATCATCAAGTACAGGCTCATCATCACATTCATCAAGTGGTATTGGTTCAACAATTGAATCTCCTTATAATCATTGGAAATATTTAACACCGTTAACTATAACAACTAATGATAAAAATCATTCGATAACAGATAATAAAACTTTATTATCATCAAAAGAACATTCAGTAACAACGAAAATAATTGAGCCAGTATCAATATCATGAACTTAATTTATCATAACAGCCATAATTCTATTTTTCTATGTCTTTCTTTTCTATATTTTTGTCTCACTTATACTTGTAATCTCATAAATTAAACCTTTGTTTTTGTGGTTTACGTTTTGTTTTTTTTTTCTTTTGTTCTGTTTGTATCGAACGCATATAATTATTCGATTTTGATATGCAAGAAAAAAAAAAGAAACAAAAAATAGGAAATCTTCCGTTGCGTGTCTTATAAGAATAAATAACTTTTTTTGTTTTTGTTTTTGCACAAAAACCATAATCAATTATTTGATATGATCGTTTTCTATTCAAAAATAATAGAAAGCTTTTTCTACAAATTATTTAATTATTTCAATAAATTATTTAATAAATCTATGTTTAAATAATTTGGTTTTTTCTTCAAAGAACACATTGTAATGTATTAAGATCTATATAAAGAAAAAGATTTTCTATAAACAATAGATACTTTGAAGTAGTAATCAGACGTACAGAGTCGACATGTATGTGCCGACGTGGGTTGAGCAAAATCTTTCAAGTTAAGAAAAATTTTACAAAATTTTTCAGTCAAATGTGGCTGAGTTTGAGTGTGGATTAGGTAGATGTCGGCCACGGATGAAGTGAACAACTGCACCTACATCCAAGATCTCACGTACACGCACACTCACAGCTAGAGGTATAAGTTGATTGGGTGAGACGCCGTCGCCGATGATCAGACAATTTTAAAGACATATCAACTACTGCTGCTGCGACACATAGATACTTGGTTTTTAAAAATTTCCGACGTCTTTAATCAGTTTTTGAAGATGTTACTATCTGGTTTAACGAAGCCGAAAGAAAAATTAAACATTTCCAGCCACCAGCGCTAAGCCTGATACTTTTACAACTGTCCTCGTCGACGAGGAAACAGCTAGGATAAATTTAGCTGCCGATCAATGCATCGGCTTTCACCTCTACCAACATCTACCCATACCCTGTCGACAAACGAGCATTCTTTTCAGCTGAAACTTTCAGGATATTCTACTAGTCATTCAGCCTATTTATGGGTGAAATTTCAGATCGAAATACCATTATTTGATTTTGCGGTAAATAATAAAAGCTGGATCGAAAATTCAGTAAAACAGCCATAACTCGGTTTCACAGGCTCATAAGCACAACCCTTTTAGGATTTTTTTAGTCTTACCGAGACCTTCTTGTGAATGTAATATGAACTTAAATGGTGAGTAGTCCTCTCGTGAGTAGAATGTAGATATGAGCAAGATCAGTCGTTTTTTGTTACAGCCTCGGTCACGGTTCCGGCAAGATTAGGACTACCTTGATTATATCTATTAGAATGTCTCTGTACATTTAGGGGATGAACGATAAAATCACAGAATCTGTAAGAGTTTATTTTGTTTCTGGTTTAGTGCTATGAAAGCTTTTTTTCTTTTTAACAAACAGAACTTTCACAAAAATAACTCATGTTTAAGCTAGAATAAAATAATGAAAATAACATTGAGAAAAGAAAAAAAAAATAGAGAATCTTTAAAAGACAAAATTGATTTGTATGTATCTAAAGAAATAATAAAAGATATTTTTTGATATTCAAATAACAATTATAGATTTTCTAGTGGATGAAATCGTCTCGAGAGTTTTTCAATAAGGAGAACAAAAAAAAAAGAGAAAAACAAAAACAGAAGCTGAGAAAAAAGTTCAGATCGCTTGTTTATTTAATCGAGTTTTGGTGCACCAGCAACAATACCACTTTCAATACCGCATTCGTCCTTACCACGAATGATTTTGAAGAAACCATTATCACCCCAATCTTGATTCCATGCTAAAAAAAAAACATTAATCATCATAATTATAGTTTGAAGATAAATGAAACTAGCTTACAGTTAACAACAAGCCAGTATGGTACTGAATTTTCTACACCCCAGCCAAGAATTTTGATGGCTATAGAAAAAAAATTCAATCAGCATTGAAGAAAAAATTCTATAAAAAAAAATACAAACCATGACCACCCAGAGCTGATCCTGATGTGTGTTGATAAACACCCGAACTATATAAAAGAAAATCTGAATAGACAGTGAAAGCACCTTCGACTGGTCCATTCTTGTAGAGTTCGGTTTGAATTTGTTTTTCATCTGATCGAATTGAATAAACACTACTACCATAATGTTTGTCTTGAGTGTACGGAAGTGAATAATCATCAATACATTTTTTAACACATTTAGGTGTTTTACCTTCACCTTGACACTATTGAATATAAAAACAAACAACAATTTTATTAAACGAAAAAACATAACTTATGACTTACAGGTGGTAAAGTTTTATTAACACTAAAAACAAAAGATAATGAAGAAGAATTATAAATAATAAAACAAAACTTACTGATGATCACATGCTTCAATGCTATATGGTCGACAACCTTCATTTGAATTATAATTACCACCAGTTACTAAACCTGTTTTTTTATAATATGACCAAGCACCTTCTAAAAAACCACCATTACAACCAAAACCACATGTTTTACAGCATGCTAAATTCAGAAGAAAAACAAAAGAGAGTTACATAAATAAAATAACTTCATTAAGATAAATTATTTTAGATAACATACAAACAAGATCTTCAGCTGAAATATGTGCATTTTGAGCACCATTTGAAGCAATACAAATACGATCAGAGATAGCTTCAACAGCACCAAAAGCCCAACAACTGCCACAACTAAAATAAAAAACAAACAATTAAAAAAACTTTTTTTTATGTATTTTTTGCATATAACAGACCTTCCTTGATCGCGTACTTCTTTTAATGTTGGACAATTTGGCCATTGTTCACGTGGATCAAAATTTTCTGGTAAATCATTTGGTACATCATGTTCAAGTATTTCAAGTTGTTTATGTCGTTCAACATATTCTGGACGAACACCCATTAAACGTACAATTGATTCTTTTGACCATGACATAAATTTTGATGGTTTTGCTTTCCATGTTGTTTGTTCTGAATTAATTTTATTGACAAGATCTAATGAAAGTAATGATTGTTTTGATTTAAGTCTACGACCATTAACAGTAATCAATGCCAAATAAATAAGAATAGAAAAACGAAAAAACAGCATATTTTATTTTATCAATAATGAAATCTAAACAAAAACAATAATTTGTGTGTTTTTTTTTAACATTGTATGATAAATTACGTATGAAAATATTTTGACATAGTTAAAAAGTCAAATAAATCATTTTTCTAATTATAATCTTTGAATATTAATCATATTAAAATAATTTATGTTTAGAAGGTTATCAAAACAGGCGTTTTATTATAATTTTAGGGAAAAAAAAAAATTCTGTGTCACAGTCAATGAATAATAAGACCTATGAATAACATTATCTCATAGTATAAAATAATGTCTATTTTTGTTGCTATCATACAATACATCATAAAATATATTTTGTCAATTATTCCAAATTCGATCAATGTGAATGATAAGAGTCAATCAAAAAAAAAAACAAACAAAATAAAAATAGCATAGATGCACATATTCATTTATAAAGAAAAAATGATAGGATCTATGCTTATTATCTATTATTGGTATTTATAAACGTATATTATTCTTCTTCCGTTCTAATTTTATTATAATACAAAAAAAAAAAATATCATCATTTTTGTTTTTTGCGTGGTAGTAATAATCAATACTCAAAGGTGACGTAGGTAGTTGGACATATATAAAAAGCAACATATATTCTATCACATAAAAAAAATTCTATTTTCCTTTTACATTTCTATTGATACCTGTACAAGGCACGTCTATCTATGGCTCGTTCATCAATAATGAATGAAACTGTTGTGTTAACGCACAATCCATGGCCAAAAAGTTGAGTATAATACTAATCACAAGAAGAAAAAAAAACTCTGTTACTCATGGAAAATTGATAGGCATCTAAAGGATCAATGCATATTGTATTCAATTTGCATTCTTTTATGTTTTCTCTCTGTCTTTCTTATGTATATATATTTCAATTTATTCAGTCTTCATTATCAAATAAAAATTTAAAAGGTTCTTTTCATTCATCTGGCTTTTTTTTTCTATTTTATATACACAAATTCTAGTCCCTTCGTTTATGTTCAATATATAATAACACTTAGTATACTTATAAAATACATTTCTCTTAATTACTTTAATATTCTTTTTCTTTACAATAACTTAGAAACTGGCATGGAAACTTTAATGGAACGATTAGTTTCTACAAATACCAAATGTTATGCATGTGGCGCACTTGTTTATGCTGTCGAGAAGAAAAAGACAGCTAATCATGTAAGTTACTTCAAACGAAAAAAAAAAGTCGAACATCTTATATAATTTCATCTAGATCTATCATAATCGATGTTTTCGTTGTCGAATTTGTAAACGAAATCTAACTGAATCATCACTTAATGAAGAAGGCGATGATATTTATTGTGCAAGTTCGTTTAATAAGAAAACAATTTCACAAAAAATTATTTTTTCTATTATGTTTTTTTGTTTTTTTGTTTAAATAGATTGTTATCGAAAAAAACAAAGTGGTGATTGCAATAGTTTAGATTTTCGACGAGCTGCATCTGAACGAGCACAATATATTTATAATAATCATGATTCTGATCAAACACAATCAAGTGGTAATCCACGACCACCAATTAGACATGATTTTTCACGACATCCATCATTAACATTACGTCAAATAGAACGACAATTTCTTTCTTATCAACCACCAAATTTTAACACCTATAAGGTTAGTTGAATAGTTAACACTTTAAAACAAAAAAAAAAAGAAATCAATTAATTAACTTATTTAATTTTAGATAATCGATAGAAATTCTCAAACACCTAGTTTAACTTTTGAACGTCCAATTATTAAAACAAGTTTTTCTACTCCAATTAAATTTATAACAATTCGACGTAGTTCATCATTAGAAAAAGATCAACGATCACCATCAAGAAAAACTGAACGATCACCATCAGTAAAAGCTGAACGATCACCATCATTGCATTTTTCACCTGTTTTTTCACCTATTATAAAGAGTTCTACAAATTTAAAAGAAACAACATTTAAAACATCACGAGAATTCAATGAAACAAAAATTAATAATGAACAATCAAAACCATTAATAAACTCAATTACTAATAATCGTTCTCAATTAAAAAATATTCTTATCAATTCAACTAAGGTACCATCACATTCAATCGAACCATCAAAATCACTCGAACGAAAACATAGTATCGTCATAGATGTTAATCAAAATAATAATAATAAACAAAATATATTTCGCTTTCCAAGTACTACTTCTACTGTTATTCCAATTCGTAATCGAAGTAAGAGTGCCAATTATATTTTTAATCGACGCAAAAATAAATGAACCTATAATACAAAAAAAAACGGACAGTTATTAAATGTTTTCATTTTTATGCATATTGTACTTTGTTCCTATTTTTTTTTACATACACTAACAATAAAAAATAAAAAAAAAAAGCTTGAATACTACGGAAAAAGAAAACAATTAATCATTGTATGTCTTGTGATGTGATTGAAGTATGCAATCAGGTATTATTCGTTAGTTAGTATTAAAATATAAGATTGGTTAAATAATATTTTAATTACTATTTAATTTTATTTAGATAATAGGAATTTATTAGATTAAAGAAATGATTGATTGCAATATAAAAATTGAAAATTTTTTCTACAATTTATAGCTTAGAAATTGTATGGTGCTGCCATCTAGAAAAAAAATTCGATTCTGAAGATATATTTTGTTCATTAAAATGATCCTCTGACATTGATTTCATTGAAAGAAATATGAGCAATAGTACACAACAATATAATGTGCAAAAAAAATGACTACTTAATAATATGGTTTTTTTTTTATTTATCTATTCCTCACATTTGATATCAAATTTCATATCAATAGGATTACTATCTACATATTCTTTAAGATGAAATTCAAGAATTGAAGGATATAGATGGATGTTGGTCTTCGCATTTTTATACACATGCATCTACTATATATTGATAGAACAGTTAAGTTGATGATTGAATATTAACTACCATTAGTTAAAGACAAATGTGAAGAGACATATTGTGACAAACAAAAGTCTAGAGCAATTGTATTTTTGAGTTTTCTTCTCTATAATAATAGATCTGAAAAAGCATTTGAATAGCGACCTTCCAAAAACAGTTGTCTAGTATTCATGTGAAGTTTTTTGGAAATGGTTTTATTTGATAGAGTAAAATGAGATATCTCGGTTCTCTTAATTGAATTACGTTCTATTTACAGAAGATCTTTCTATTGCCTTTTATGAAAAACGGGATTTTCTATAAACTGAATGCAATTCGATGAAGCGAGCTGAAACATCTCATTTTGTTCTATCAAATAAAATCATTTCAAAAAAGCTTCAAATGGATATCAGAAAACTCGTTTCGGGAGTCTTGGTTTGCTTAACAGCCTCATCCAAACAGTTTTATTAGAGTTTTTGTGTTCACTAATCTCGATAGAGAATTCTTTTAGCTACTCAGATTACTATATATCCTCCTAGTCAGAATGACGTAAGTAAAGTTAGCACCAGATTCGAGTATTTCTTGTCCCGATTCGCCTTCTTACCTTTGTTAACTCTCTAAGAACTTGTGTTAGGTGCAGAATTTAATTCTCTATCGAATGGTACTACTTTCAATGAGGATCATCGAGCAAAAACCACAACTTTTCCCTGAAATACTGACTTTTCTCCTGCGTATCAATAACAAAGATCCTGTATTTCTTGTCTGGACTCGCTCTACGACTTGTGTTAACTTTCTAACCTAATGTGTTGGATAGAGAATTAAATTCTGCATCGAACATACTAAGTTAGAAAGTTAACACAACTCGTAGAACGAATCCGGACAAGAAATACAGGATCTTTGTTATTGATACGCAGGAGAGAAATCAGTATTTCAGGGAAAAGTTGTGGTTTTTGCCCGATGATCCTCGTTGAAAGTAGTACCATTCGATAGAGCATTAAATTCTGCACCTAACACAAGCTCTTAGAGAGTTAACACAGGTAAAAAAGCGAATCGGGACAAGAAATACTCGAGTCTGGTGCTAACTTTACTTACGTATTTAAAAAGTGAAATTCTCGAGAAAAGGGTGTGGGTGTGGATGTAACTCTTATTCGTATTCACACCCACACTCACACTCACACCCGCCCTTTTTTTACTATAATGGAAAACAGGAGAATAGCAGTATCGTTTGATTGGTTCAGATAAAATCAAAAAATAATCTTGATTGTTTTTTATTTGATTAACATAAACTGTCGTCAACATATCAAAGATGTATCATCAGAAAGGTGAATGAATATTGGTGTTTTTCTTTCTCTGCTTTCGATTCTTGTTCATGAATCAACGAATAAATAGATGATTGTCTCGGAATCACTGGTTATTCGGACCAGTGCTCTAACCGTTGAGCTATCAAAGTATGACGAACATATCATTTCTTTCTGAATGATATTCAATCATCGAAAGTCAAAGGGTGTAAAAAATCGGTATTGCAAATAAAATTACATACACGAGGGTGTGGGTGTGGGATGTTATTCTCTTTTAATAAAAAGAAAGAGTATAAATATAACAATCAGATCTATTGTATTTATGTTTACCGATACTTGTACAGCTTATAATCAATTCCAAAAATAAAAACTCATTAAACTGGTTTCAGCGTGTGTCACTCTCCAGGATTACTCAACGTTGTGTCAAGAGACGTCTTCTGATATAACTATGTTCTTTCTCTCCTTTTTGATTCTATTCTATCACGCTTATAACCATTCTTTTCTTCGTTTCATTTTTTGGCATATTTCAGGAGTTGCGATTGTTGAGAACAGACGCTTTTTGAATGGAAAATAAAAGAAAAAAAGAAAAAATAAGACGCAAATATTAATATAAGTTGTAACAATAGAGATGAGAAATGTCAAGGACAATCTGTTGCCACCAACTTTACACAAAAGAGAGTGCAGGTTAACGAAAAAAATTATTTTAGTTTACTGTTTGTTTTGTATTGTTAACAGGTAAAAGAAGGTTTTTTTTTCTCTTAGAAAACAATTATTCCGGGCTTAATATATTTTTAAGGTCAGTTACAGATAAACTTCTAATACTTTTCTAAAATTTAATTATTCATCACCACAAAATATTCCAGTATTATATATGCAGATGACGTTTTGGTAAAATTTCTAAAAACTCCACTATTTGTTTCATCTATGATAAGTATCAAAAGAGAATATTATCATTTACATTTAATAAGAATGAACATAGACGATTATTATATTTCTTGAGCTTCAAATAAAAATATTTACCTAATGTTCTTTAAGTTTTAAAGTTAAATTAAAAAATCTGTGAAGACGATCGTCACTTATGCAATATTAATCATTGAAAAAAGTCAACATTCTTCTGAGGAAAATTTTCGTAAGATGTCGAAAAGCACGATATTTATTGACCTATTAAAAACTTACTTTTACCGAAAAAAATTGTTGTTCTAGATTTAAAAAAAATTATAATATTCAACTTTTCTGTATAATTTAAGAGTGTTCAGAATGCAGTCTGATGAATACGTCCAACATTGAATCATTAGAAAATACAAATATGTCAGAAAATGTATCATGTTCGAATATAACATTAAATTTTCATGAAAATGACGACGATTTCGACTTGGTCTGTCTTGATGTACAAATAGATGACTATGATAATTCTTATGGCTTAGAAATCGATCTACAATCTATTTCCGATCATATTCACTCATTTATTGATGTCGATTCTTGTCTTGAATATTTGACGTCCAAATGGTTTTATCGTATTTTCCTTATTGTGTCTGACAAATTGGCACCATCTATATTACCACAAGTCAAAAAGATGGATCATATTGTTTCGATATTCATTCTTTCTGAGAATGCCGTCCCGGAAAACTTAACGAATGTCTGCTCTGAAAAATGTCGTGGTATATTTACTAACAAAAATAGCTTAGTAATAAGTGTAATGGAACATAGATTCATGAAAACTTCGCTTATCTCCTTACACAATGTTTTTCAGGACGTCAATACAAATCAACAGTCATTCATTGATTCAAATGATATTCGTCTATACAGTGTTCTAACGGACATAAATCAAGCAGCACGTTCTCATTTTCAAGATGATTCAATATCATTTGATAGACAACAGATGCTGAGAGAATGTCGTCTATATCATCGAAACAATAAACAAATGATAGAACAAATTAATCAATTTGCGCAAATATATAATCCAGCAGAAGCCATCAAGTGGTATACAAAAGACTCATTCCTCTTTGGAATAGTGAATAAAGCTATTCGCACGCATTCAACAGAAATTATTGACAAGTTTCGCTTCTTTATTAAAGATTTGGAAGAATCACTTGATTTATTCTTCGCAAAGCAAATATTTGATCAATGGTCTTCTTCTTGTTTACTAAATAACAAGCTACTTGTTGTCTATCGTGGTCAACTACTTTCTCATGACGATATGATACGATTACAATCACTTGTTGGACAACACATTACAATGAGCCAGTATATATCGACAACAAAAGATATTCGAATAGTAGAAATGTTTGCAGGTAACGGAGAACGTCGACCTCATTTCGAATCAGTTGTGTATGAAATTGATACGAGTATCATCTATGAATATTATAATGATAAACCAGACCCGTCTATTTATTATTATGACATTAGTCATATCAGTCATTTTAGTGAGGAAGAAGTTTTGTTTCGGATTGGAACTATTTTTAAAGTGGTAAGCATTGAAGAACCATCCGAAAGTATTGATAACCGATGGCATGTAAAGTTACGTCTTGAAAAAGGTGGTGATTTTCGATCCAAAAACACGATTAATCGAACACCAAAGGAAATTGTTCAATCATTTTTCAACAAAGCAAGCCAAAAGAAAAAGATTAGTGTTGAAAATATCATTAATGAACGTTTATCTTCGAATATTATAATTGTTATGAGCGTTTTTATCCGTCTTGGTCATTTAGTGAAACATCATCCACAAGAACAACTTCATTATTACCAATCTGCATTATCAAAAATATCTTCAAACGAATCATCTCTTCTAGAAGTTGGTTATGAGATCATACGAATGCGTTGTACTTCGAGTGTTAACGACTGGACATCTGTACCTTTGAGCATTTATCGTCAAACAGTACTTCATATTGATGGTAATCTTAGAAAACAATTATATCGTGAACTCGCTCGGATTGACGAAGCACGTGGTGATTTTCATTCAGCTAAAATGCATTATGATGATGCTTTGAAGTACACAAATGATTGTTTAGAAAGACAATTGATATTGAGTGACTTAGAACGACTTAATAGTAAAGTCGACGATTTAAAACCAGTACTTCCATCAAATCAGGTCGCTTATTGGTATTTATATGCTACTGTATTAACGAGTGAAGAACAATCACTTATCGATCATAAATGCGATATATTTCATCGGTCAATAGATAGGGCACACTTGTCAGAGCACTTTTCTTTCACCGACATCCTTCCTCATATCAATCATAATGAACATATCCAATTGCTGCATAATTTTTCTAACAGTGTCGAACTTGATTTCACCGATCGCTCAGTTCTACATATATTCATTAAGACTTTAACAGACAAACCATTAATATTAACATTAGAAAAAAATGTCACAATTCGGCAATTGAAAAAAATGATTCGCCGTAGTTTTGACATTTCATATCCGGCAGAATATAATTTTCGACTTATTCATATGGGAGTGACGCTGATCGATGAGGAAAAGTCGCTCGATGATTACCAAATTAATGATCAATCTGTCATCTATCTTATTCATGGTCCACGTATACGAAATGAACCTGTCAATTGTTTGGCGCGAGATTTAAAAGAAAATACTGGTTTAACTGTCGAGGATATCTTACGAACAGGCATTCGGGAGAAATTAAAACTAGAGAGAATACAAGAGAAACTTCAGAGACAAGCCGTCGCATTTCTCAATCTCAATCGAAACATTCGTCGGCATGGAAATATAACTCCTGAAACAGTAAATAGTGCATTTAACGAATTTTTCCAAGAAAATCTTATCTTAAGCCAATGTGATGATGATGATGATGCTGATCCTGACCATTTATTAGATATGCCAAATTGTTTCACAGACGAATATATACAAAACAGTGGTTCTCATGCGTCAATATTTCAGTTATTTGATTTAATGCTTCGTCCTCATCAACAAAGAAATATAGAAGAGAATAACAGTAATCAACAGCCAGTAATTAATGATATTCAATATCACCAGCAAATCCGCGACGATGAAAATGCTACTAATCAACTTAGACAGCAAATTAATAACATTTCTTTGGTTACTGATGAATCTTCATTTACCTCGGATTGCATTATTTCTTAAATGAGTATATTTTCATATTAAAATAAATGAACTGCGCAGCTTTATTTTTTTTTATTTCTCATTAACAAATCATTAATGAACAGTAGAGTAAATTATTTTCTTTTAATAAAATTCTCAACTCCAATAATACTTATAGTTATATCAACATATCAAAATGTAACAAGGGTGTGGGTATGGGTGTGATATAGGTGTGGGTATGGGTGTGATGTGGGTGTGGGTATGGGTGTGATGTGGGTGGGGGTGTCGGTATAGATGTGGATCTTTTTTTCACCCACGCCCTTGCCTCCACCCACATCCACACCCGCACCAACACCCACACCCATATCCTGTTTCCTTACTTTCTTGATTATACAAAGATTGAATTTTATATCCAGTGTGGGGTGTGGGTGTAACTCTTATTCGTATTCATACCCACGCCCACATCCCACTCACGCCCACACACTCACACCCACACCCACACACACCCACACCCACACCCACTTCTTATGGTTCTGATGTTTCGCTAAATGTTATATAAACATCCGCGAATATTGTTTTTCTTTGCAGCATTATTATGATGAATTCACCCAATACAAACAGAAAACATCCGATCGTCTCGTTTTGTTTTCTTATACTTCAAGTTCGACTGTATTCCGCTCACTTCAGTCAGCAAATATTTTGCTGTTGATGAAAGTTGCTTTAGGCATTTTCTTTCGTTCTGAGATTTTTTTAAAATAAAGCGAAGCGAATAGGTTTTCGTTTTTTTCTAACCACTCTCAAAGCGACAACGCAATCATTGAAAGACAGAAAAATAACGAAATGTAAATGATGCTTTATTGTTGTTGCCTGTTTTATTTTCGTGCTGATGGCAGAAAAAGTTAAACATTTTTCTTTTTGCATTCTTGATTATTCTTTACTTGTTGAAAAGAAAAATCAATCGTTCAATGCTCTTACCATTCATTGAAAGTAAAGAGTTTCAAAAATATTCTGTTTGAGTTAAAAGGATGTCGATAATAATCATGTACATGGAAAAAAAAAGAAATTCTCTTTATAAAACATAATTCAAAAGTTGTCAATAAGAAACTTTATTTTGCATTTGCAACTTCGGTTTTCATTAAGAAGATAATAAATTTTCTCGAGCACTTTACTCAGCAAGAACCAGAAATTAGTAAGAAAAAGGACATATGGTCGTGATGTGATCTTACCTCTTCTTCAGTGAGCCAAGTGAAATGACATGATGATGAATGAATTTACGATTTGTTGAAGATTTAAGGCTAACCTATTTAGTTAAATTGAATAAGACTTCTCTCACACTGAAATGAATATATACAAGAATCGGAGAAGGACGACAATAATTTCAATTATAATGTAAAAAAAAGAGTGTGGATCTACACTTCATTCACATGGACACGCATACGCACAGCCACCCACACATAAGTATGTTGATTTTATTTCATCAAATTAACACTGAATAGAAACGAATGCATGACAACAAATCAAACATGAATGTGTCATGGCATTGCGCTTAAGAAGAATAAATTCAAAGAGAATGAGAGAGAAATATATAAACAAGCCGAAATTACATTTTTCATCATTCTAAAGAACTGAAGAAATATCGAAGAAAATCAATTGAAAGGTAAGTTTAAATTTCTTTGTTAAATCTTTTTCTGTTTATTCAAGCAATTAATAGAAATAGGATACTTGAACACATATATAACAGATCCATTCGATGTTTATTTAATGATAAGATTTATTTATAACTTGAAAAGTATCTTTTATCTCTTAAGAGAAGCGACCCAAATTTACAATCAGTTCTGAGGCAAGACTATATATATCATTTACATTCTAATGAGATATGAACAATTCACAAAGAGTTTAAGACCTTAGATTACTTCTGCCGAAATATTATATTTTTAAGATATTTTTTTCACATAATGGCAACGGTCTCTTCAAGAGTATCAGAAAAAACTGTGTTTTACTTTTAATCTGAAACTTTGCTTGTGGATAGATCGAAAAATGGATGGGTTTTCGGGAAAATTTCAGATATTTTGATTACTCCTATTTTTTAATAAGAACATTCGTATCTGCCGATATGTATGAGCAATATGTCTTCGCGTGAATTTTCAAGTTGAAATTCAGAGTTTAATTGTCTTAGTGATCCTTCGAAGAACTAAGAGGTGGGCTTGATGTAAGAGTCTGCTGTTTGCATCCACATCAACAAAGATGAACCTTATTCTCAACCGTTTCTAGAAATCCGAAGCTGGTTTTCCTATGAGATAGTAGATTTCACGGTGATTTTTCATCATCTGAATATTAACAGCTAATCTATCACATGTGTTGGACGATAACCTCATCTGAACATTGTGCTTTTCATCAAACATCTATTTTTGAGAATAAGATGCTGAACGAACAATGAGCGACATAAAGAAGGCTTTGTTACCAACAATAAATCTTCACTAGTTTTCGTTCTAATAACAAATCCATCTTCATATTACTAAAAGACACAGCTGCTTGAGCTAAATGTTTTTCCTCAGTAAAATTCATAGGTACACAGATCTACAAACGCTTTTGAGCTCCGTCCAAAAAGCCTTTCTAGAAATATAGATTTTTCAAAGTTTTCTTCCTTTATGGCTCTTCGTAAAAACTATTATTATAAAACGAAGGTTCTATATTTTTCGAAATAGATTCTGCAAAAATTCATAAAACACTTCCCACCAGAATTCTCAATGGACAAGGTTGTCGCAACGAAAACCAGCCCATTGGATGTCGACCTTGATCCAGCGCGATCCATGGTTTTTCCTCAATAAACCGACCCGCCCTTGAGTGCCCATGGATCATTCATCTAATTGTTGTTGAATATAAGGAATGTTTTACAAGTTGACAAAAATGTCTTTTTCTACATTTTACTTTCTATACTCGTTGTTGATTGCAGAAATGTTTTATCCAATGAAAAAATTACATGAATTTTTCAAAAAAGAATTTAGTGGCAAGAAGAAGAGAAGAATAACGTTCTCGCCTTTCAGCTACCTTTTGGCATAGGATGCTGTCCAGAGACAGTTTCAAAAGACCGATATTTTTCCTACAACTGTTGCTTGCTGTAGCTCTGGACAGAAGGCTGTCTGACTTAGAGTTCTTCCGCTCAATCACTTGACCTTCCCGCACATACTGACGAACCATATATTAGCCGCAAGGGCAGGTGTATGTCATATCGATGATTCGAGACAAGCATCCCTTAGTGGCTTGTTCCAGGTCATTTCATATCTGACAGCGCCGAGGGTCGAACACAGTATCTTGGTAGTACGCGCCGAATAACGTCACTACTCAGCCATAGCAGCTTATCAGCGGCAAGACGTGATATTTTTGATAAATTTTTGTATCAAAAACTCGACCCACGGGCACTCATCGAAATACCGAGTCGGCTCGACTCGATCCATGGTTTCCCATTGCAAAAAATTTGGCCGATGGACTGGACTTGGGTCTAGCCCAGCCAATTGAGACATCCGCTTCCTACTTCGGCATATCTTAGATTGAGTAAGTTCTTTTTTGTGTCAATTAAAATGACCGCACTAAAATCACAATAGAGGAAAATAAGAATGATTTTCATCGAAAAATATCTTCAGGTACAAATCTCAAATATTACATATAACTACGAATTCGTGAGGAGACACATTTAAATCAAACTTGATTATGTGATTTTAGTGTACCCAACATATTTTGTAGCAAAAACTGAGACAGCATTGTTTTTTTACTCCTAGTGGAGTGAGAGAATAAAATCTATCTCCATGTAAAGTCCGGTAATCCTCGTTGGTCCATGGGTAGTACGGGTTGAAGTTTAATAAATGTCGAATTTTTTGCCGTACTCATCTTTCTTAATATAATCTGTCCCATTGTGATAGATCAAACGATTCTAAAATGATTACATAAATAACCATTTTTATGTAGAATACGGACAAATCCATTAGAGCCTACACAGATCATTATCTTTATATACTTCAAATTAAATGTAAAATTCTAAATGATATCGTCGCAAATTATGCTTACATATTACAACATCGTTTTCCTTTTTTTTTATTCAATTTCGACAATACCATTTGATGCAACAGCAATCAGATAAGCCTTGATTTTTTTTGCCTTTTCAGTAACCATATTCTGGAGCGAATATAGGAGACAGTTTTCATTCTAACTCACCCTATTAAAAGAATATGAACGTTCATAATTGCTCTAAATCCCTTTATTTTCAAAACATTTCTATCAATACAGCACAGAAGTTATTATCCGAACCATCACTTTTGAATCATGAGTTAGTGATTACTATTTTTGAAAGCTTTTATAAAAGAGCTTTACAATAGGATATGTGTGGGATGTGGTTGTGTAGTGGGGTGCGAGTGTTGGTGTGGTATGGTTGTGGAAGTGGATTTTTACTTGAGCAACATCCATATCCACATCCCAGGTTTTCTGAAACCTGGACACCAGTGAAATAAATTTATTCATAAGAAGGATACATCATAAGACGCTCTAGTCGAACTTTTTCTCTTGTACTTGATCTGTACATACCTCAAAATTTGTCCTTAGCACATGACTTTCGTGCTCAACACGGTCAAAAAGTTTACATGCAGGAGACAAAAGGTTTAACTAGGTGTAGTTAAAACTTCTGCATAAATGGATGCTTGATTTAACATTTTTCTATCTATTCAAACAAATCGTCACAAAGTTGAGGGAAAATGCAGACTTTTCCTTTTGATGCATAATGGATATTTTCATTTTTTTTGATGTTACTGTTTAGCTTTGACGAGATTCGATCACACCGTTAAATAGAAGCCGTTGATTTGTACATGGTTTACTAAGTTGTACCTCCCATTGAGTTTCTGAGCAAATGGTTGTGGAAAAAGCTCGAATCAGCTTTTAACTCTCTTCATATCATTAAGATACGCAATGTGTTTCGATTTTGAATCATGAAAAAATTTAAATGATAGAATAGAGTTGCTAGATAGGGCAGTAAGATGTCTACATTTCTGGTACCGTCTTTACAATTTTTGGTTATACGCCCAACAAAATTGTCGATTTGCTATTTGTACTTTAATGCGTAAAGAAATCTTTTATTCCCTCTACTGAAAGGAGGGTCATACATCGAGCAAGGTTCCTATGTTCGTAACTTCGTTCGTACGTTCGTTCGTTCGTTCGTTCTCACAGAGCGAAAAAATGTTTTTTTCACCTATAACATCATCGATCTTACAACAGATCTTCACCTCACCCAATCGATTAGTATAGAGTCCTTTCCCCTCCCCCCCGACAAATCAGATGTCTGCATTCCAGCCAATCAGATTTCAGGTGACAGATTTTCAGCCAATCATAAGTTTTCGCCGTGTGGCTATGCACCAATGAGATTTCGAGAGTGGCCATTTGGACCAATGATAGGTTTTCATGATTTGGCTATGCACCAATGAGATTTCAAGAGTGGCCATTTGAAACAATCATACGTTTTCACAGTTTGGCTATGCACCAATGAGATTTCGAGAGTGGCCATTTGGGCCAATTACAGGTTTTCACAGCTTGGCTATGCACCCATGAGATTTCGAGAGTGACCGTTTGGAGCAATCAAAAGTTTTCGCCGTGTGGCTATGCACCAATGAGATTTCGAGAGTGGTCATTTGGACCAATCATAGGTTTTCACGGTTTGGCTATGTACCAATGAGATTTCGAGAGTGGCCATTTGGACCAATCAAAAGTTTTCACCGTGTGGCTATGCACTAATGAGATTTCGAGAGTGGTTATTTGGACCAATCATAGGTTTTCACAGGTTGGCTATGCACCAATTAGATTTCGAGAGTGGCCAATTGGACCAATCATAGGTTATCACGGTTTGGCCATGCACCAGTTAGATTTTGAGAGTGGCCATTTGAACTAATCATGGGTTTTCACGGTTTGGCCATGCACCAATGAGATTTCGAGAGTGACCAATTGGATGAATCATAGCTTTTTTTACAGTTTCGCTATGCGCTAATGATATTTTGTGAGTTAAGATTTGGACCAAGCATAGGTTTTCAAGTTGGTGTGGGCGTGTATGTGGGGGTGTGCATGTGGGTGTTGGTGTGGGTGTGGGTGAGGATGAGGGTGAGGGTGAGGGTGAGGGTGTGGCTGTGGGTGTGGGTGTGGGTGTGGGTTTGATAGGGCGTGGGTGTGGCGAGTGTGGGAGTGAGTTGAGTTTGGATGTGAGTCTGGGAGTGTGTGGGTGTTGGTGTTCGGTGCGTTTGGATGGGTTGGAGTGTGGGTGTGTGTTTGGATTTGGAATTGAATGAAACATTCTTATGCATATCGACACCGACATCCACACCGGATCCTGCACAAATAGGCACCGTGTTTGTGTTTGAAACTGACAGTCTAGATTTGAGTATGGTTGGAATACCTGTTGGGGCAGTATTGTTGGGTATTTTCTGTGAGTTTTAGTGATGTGTGGCAGTTAATGCTACCGTACTAGTTGTTTATAAAAGTCTATTGAATGAAATGAGGGTCGTTCGGTTGCCTTTAGTCCTCAATGCAGTTTGTGGGTTTGTTACGATGAGGTCACATGAAGGTGCACTTGTGAGTTTAGCGGAGATATTGGTAGCAAAATTTGGTTGACACCGCTATTCTTTTCTGAAATCGCTACTTAAAAAGTTTTCTTATATGCCGTGTGTCATATATAGCTTGTGTTGTAGTGGATAGCTGTCAAATGCTGCTTGGGATGCCGGTTGAATGCGCAAGCGATAGTGGCTTTCTATCAATACGGTTCGTTTGCATAGTTCAATTTCTTTTCATTCTCTTTTGTCTTTGTGGCTTTTATTTGAAATAGAGTTTCGTACAAGTTTTACAAAATGATTTATGGACGAGAACTGTAAAACGCACAAATTTCGAGCATGCAATGTATCGTTTTTTATGCGTTAGGTGGTTTTTCTGAACATCACGGCACTCTTCAGATGTTGTTGTTTTAAACAATGAATTGAAAACGTTTCCGAGTATTTTGTGCTATTCTATCTACTCTTTTAAGTTTTTCTATTTGAGCCGTTGACGGTTTAACTTGAAGTGTTGCAAATTCAAATGAACGTATAATTAGTAAATCGTCAAGTCTCTTTACACGAGATAATGGAACATAAACCGATGCGAGTTTGATTGGGCCAGGCAGCATCACCAGATCGACGATAATTTTACCGAGTGTTTGGCCTTGGCTTTTATGTGTTGTCATGCTATATGCGGGTATAAGCGGAAGTGCTTTATGTTTAACCGAGAGTTTTGTTGTTTTCTTGTTTATTTTGGCCGCTTTCGCTATATTTTCTGGAAGAAGTTCCTTGGCATCAAACAAGAATGTTTGTTCACTAATAGCTATAGGAACTATTTTGGGCTGCAGTTCAGCAAGTTTGTCATCAAATTTGCAACCAGGAAATTCTACCAAAGCGTACTTTAGTTGCGTTATAAACTTAGTATTTGGTGGAAAATTCTTTTCCTGGTATCGAACATCTTCTGGTGATTCATCGTATACAAGTTGACGAAAGATTCCACGTGTACCGTTGGAGAGCCCGATCTTACTAGCGACATTTTCTGTGAGTAAGACTGGCATTTCTGGTACGAGAGGTAAATAGCCTGGAAGATGTTCTGTTTTATTATCAGGTAGTTCTAGTATTGCTTGACGTAATCGTAAATTATCCACAGTTTTTCCTTGAATATAATCTTGACCAATGCATACAATTGGGGGTAAGTCCCATTTCCATTGTTTTGTTTAAGACAGCCCTATTGTTAATTTGAGTGCGTAGCGTATTCCGAAAAACCAGTATTGGAGCCTATTAAAAGAAAAGTAATGTGATACACAGAGAAAATGAGTGTGCATATTTCGTTCCATGGCTTTTGTTATAGAGACACTTGAAGTTTTGGATTTCCTATAACTCTCGTACGCAGAAGTTAATAATCTTCTATTGTCGATTGTCCATGTCTTAATCCATTTAAAAGCTCCAAATATCTAATGTCTTCGGTTCGTATTTGCTGAGTTAATTCAACAACGCAGTTTATTTCAGACATAAGCTTCTGTGCACACAGCATATCTATCTGACGTTCTGTAACTTGCTGTGTCGGTGCGCAGCTACAGTAGAGAGGCTTGTCCAAAACAGGAAAATATTGAAGGTAGTCGCCGAAGAAAATGACATTGACATCGCCAAAAGATATCTCAGAATTTATGTGCTTGGCTGTTTTCACTATTCGCTTTAGACGAGCTAAGAGACTAAAGTCCTACTATGCTCATCTCATCGATTATCAAGTACTTCACATGACGCCATTCATTTTCTAATTTCATATCACCAGGTCTAAATGTACGGGTTTGTTTCTTTTTACTGTTTTTGCGACTTTCATCTAAAAATGAATGGATAGTTAATCTGTCAATCTCAGCTGCTGCTATAGATGTTGGCGCCAGTTTACGCAACATCTTGCTCCGTTTGGTTACTTGAAAATACTTGGTAATTGCACGAATCAACTGAGATTTTCCAGTACCACCGCAACCAGGTATGCACATTAATAACTGATTATCGATAGTACCTAAATATTAAGACTAACTAAACCTTACAACAACGAAATCCAGATAACATACCGGTAGAAGCATAATGTTCACCATCTAAGTGACTAGTAACAATCATAAAAGCATATTTTTGCTGTGTATTTATCGTAAATTGTTTGACGATATCCTGTTTTGTAGGAAATAAAATCGCATTGGTTGCAATCACAGACGGGACTGTTGCAACTTTCGTTTTAATTGGGCTTGTTGGAATTTCATTACCTACGATTTCAATCTGTGTTTCATCATCTCGTACTTCCAGAGTATCTTCGCCTAAAATTAAATAGTTTCTTGTTTCATCTCGTCGGGCATCAATATCACGTTTCCATTCTTTAATCATGATCGTATGATGCTCGCGAGCTACGATAAATGTGTGGACGTCGTGTATGGCACCATAATTATTTTCACCCAGAGAACGTGTACGGCCTAAATCAAACAAAATATTTTCGGAATATGGCAGTAATTAACTCACCATTGAATAATGCAAATCTATCTATATTATCGATTGCTTGTAATGCATCATGAACATAGCGTTGTTCGTGAGTAACTGTCAATGCCGAGTAAGTATTTGTGATGATCTCATTTACGATGGAAAGCATTTGCAAAAGCTGTTCAGGATCGTCTTCTTCAGTATTTTGATCTTCTTCATAGGAGTTAAGGATCAGAATAGGATCAATGCTGCTGTCATTTTGTGCTTCTAAAAGAACTTGATGAAGGTACTCATCTCGATCGTGCTTACATTCATACAAAAGTTGTATATTTTCTGTAATTTTGAGTGAACTAGAAGAGATCAATGGTTTTCGAACTTCCAGTGCCTCAGACCATGTCTGATTTAGTGCACAAAGATCGTAGACTGATCTCCATGGCACGAATAAAGTTAGTAATGCACGACAATAACGATCGTGTGTTTCTTCTCGTTCGCGATAGGGTATTGGAGGACCAAGCAGAACTGGTAACACTGGAGTGGTACGTTTAATGATGATTGTGGATGCACACTTTCAAATGTGTGGCGTTCATTTATTTTTGTTCTTTCGGTATATAAGCGTTCACCTTCATGCCCATTTTCATTCTTTAGTAAACGGCGGTCTGATTTGTCAATAATCTTCTTGTGAAAATGACTGATAAAATCAAATAAGCATAATGCACTTAGATCTTTTGATCAATGCCAATAGCCCAGACGAGTGTTTGTCATGACATACGCGTCACCGCTTTTGGTTTTTGTTGGCTCTAATAGAAACTGTTCTTCAGTTTCTTTTGTGTCTTTTCCTTGCTCATCATAGAAGGACGTTAGGATCCCTAGAAAAATTGCATATTAAATATCTATGTAGTCATTTTTAAAACTTTTTATTATGAACTTGCTGTTGCTCAATAGATTTGACTCCATGCTGCGTAATGGCAAACATATCACAGAAAGCGAGAGTCGACTCTGTTACATAATCAGTTATATGGTACCCTAAAGCTTTAGCGTCGTTACCGTTCTAAATGAATTTAATATCCATGTTGGATCGGCAAGCATTTAAGAGCCATTCATTGAAGTTGTCGATCCACGGATGTGATCGATACATAGTTATCTGACCTGTAGAAGGATCGATGTTGGAAATCTTCACGAGTACACGTGGCATACGCATTCAACAAGCTTTTGAACCATTGGACTTGCCTTTCGAGTATTTGTAACACATTGGAGAATACTCGTGAATATTGCATGTTTCGACTAATCTCACTATATCTTTGCGAAAAAAGCGATGGAAGTCATCTAACACAGAATTGGGCGTTTGTTGGCAGGCCGGTACAACTTCATTCATTATCGGCCCAGTTTCTTCTAAAATCAAGACAAAAGCAAAATTAAGGATGTACTAAAAGCTACAAACTCATGAATTGATGCACTGTTATCGCTTGCTGTATTGGTTCCATCGTCGCTTCCATCTTTAAAAAGAATGGTCAAATTTAAAAGTACAAATGATCTAATGCAGTTATTATGGTTACTAAGAATCTGCAATTCGAATTAAACACATTTTGGATTATCAAGAATTAGTTGAAAGCTCAACTCTAGGCTAAAGCAGCGATAACATATTCTTAGGGTATAAAATTTCGTCAAACAGGCAAATGCGAATACTTCAAATCACAAATTTGAACGATGCTAAATGTATTACCTCGAAATAGATCTAAACCTTTTTTTACAACATCTTCTAAATATTTTAGTAAATTTTCACGAAAATCTTGGTTTTGAACCTTTTCTTTTAATTCTGCTAGAGTAAACTCATGATTGAGCCAAATTTGAAGGTGTAAAGTGAAGCGAGCCTCTACCTTGATTCTCGGCAGTGCCGAAATATGCTTTTGTAGGACCAAATACACTACCGAGCACAAGACTTTTCAAGATGTTTTTTATTAAACAGTTAAAGAATCTTGCAGTAGCAACAGGATGTGTTGCGATAATTTGAGCATGTTCATAACTTGTCCCCAACACTTCTGGCAGAACTTTGTCAAGATCTAGATCAACACCTGCAAAATAAAGTGCCACTGGACTATGTATGTGGGCTGGATTGATTGGTAGAAAGAGAGTTGGAAGACCGAGATTAAAACACAAAGAATGAATTTTCGTACGAAGGGTCGACCGTGAATGAGCTGAATCCATGACATGACTACCAACCACTTTGATATGCTTCATGAGGGTATTTATTCTTTTATTAGTAACTTTGGAATAAGGCGCTTTTGAGATGTTGACAAGGGCCGTTGTTACATCTTCAGAAATCAATAATTCAAGAAGTTGTGCGGATTGCTGAAAGTACGGCCTTGATGTTATTAATTTGGCATGGAAGCACGCGATTCGGCGTTGTAAAATATTGAAGACAACAAATATGAATGAGTAGTGTTCTTCAAAACGATGATCTCCGTACGAAAGAAGATATCTGAGATGCTCACGAAAATTAATTTGGACCGGTCGAGAGTAATCTTCAAGTGTATCACATCCATACGGAAAAAATGTAGGAAAGATACCCAATAAAAGATTTGGATTAGAATATTCATTGGCCGGTTTGTTACCACGAGAAATTATGTACACAGTATCTTGTTCAACGTTTTCCTCGATGTCTTTTTTCAGCGTTTTATCACCAATTTGTACCTTTATTCATTCTAAAAGATGTTCAACAACGTCATTAGACGAAATTTTGGTACTGTTAACATGCAAGATAGTACTACAACACAAACAATGGTAGATACAAATATCAATGCCTTTTTGCTTTACCTCGCAATTATTGGTATAGCTGTTGTAGTGTTGGACTCAGATGCATTGATCAGATAGTTAAGAATATAAGTTGTCGTGTCGTTTTCAACCGCTTCTACCTTAGCGAAAATTTCCATTGTTGTCCAGAAACACTCAGGGACATCATTCTCAAGTAATTTATTGATTATTGATTGAGTAATTGTAACATATCGATGGAGTAGATTGTTTGGACTAAGTCATTTAAGTGCATCAGAAACCTTTGTTTTTCGAGCAGTCAAAATATTTTTTAGTTGACTTCTTTGTGGAGTGCGAAAATTAACAAAACTAATTTTTAGAGAATCACATAGATCATTTAATTCTAATGACAGGGTAGTAGCTATGTTAATAACATCTTGAGGAAAGCTTATGCAGTTGCCTTTTAAAGTTGATTGAGCTATGCTTGTCGAATGAAAAGACGAATATAATTTCACAACGCAACTTTTGTATTGATAGATAGCGATAAGTCTTTAATCAGGAATGGTTAGTCCTTGTAATTGCTCTGACACATCTACCATTCACACTTTGTTGTCAGCTGAAAACTTGCGTATTTTTGCTTTCGCCAAGGGCTACCAACATTTTGTACAAATGTCACAGTATACCGAAGATTGTCTCTTTTTATCAAAAGTTTTACGACGTCCTGCTTTATAGAGAAATATACTGTTCACCCAAGTAAATGATTGATCATCCATTGATGATTTTATATTCCTATCTATAATAAAAAAAACCTGATTAATCTTGCTAGTTTAACTATTACAATAATTCAGCTGCTTCTCTTTCGTCTCGATCGAAACCTAAACCAAGATCGTCATTCTTGTTAAACTTACCTTTTGAATGGGAACTTGCTCATTCGTTGCATTATAGAAATTATGTCATAAAGATCATTATGTACTCTAAGCAATTCAATCAATGGAATTTTGCACAAGGGTATGTGTCAGAGGTTACTCTTATAGCAACGAACATTACAAATGCTACAAACATTCTCTACTAGAAAACTCATCGACATATGTCGACTTAAGTTTTTTGAGCAGTTAATTGTGCATTCCATTTCAATAAGTTTTGGCTATTCAGTGTCGCTACTTTTAGGATTTTTCTTTCTATCAGTAACCGTTTGTGCTTACACATTTTTCTGAAGATGTTTTCTCTTACGGGCCACTGCTTGCTGTTGCTCGACTTTCTTCCGATACATAAGCAGCGTGTATTTCAATACTTCTCCTGCGAGCTAATACGCGCAGTTCTACTGCTTCTTTGGGTGATATAGTAGCTCGTTTAGTCATACTCCTCCCAGGAACAAGTGCTCGCTGTTGTTCAATTTCTTTCAATGTAAAAGTAGCTCGCCAGGCTGCAATTTTCTCACGAATTAATGCTCGTGGTTGTTCGATTTCCTCTGCTAGGGGCGTGGGTGTTCATTACAACACCCACACCGTTCATTTCTTGTCGATGAATATCAGCATTTTATTTGAAAATCATACATTGAATTTAATTTTTAAACAAATTCACTGCATTTTTTTAATCAATATGTCAATTTTAATCAACGAATTTGAAAAAGCATCAATTTTATGTTCACTGCATCATCAAAAATATCATTTTTCATGCTTTTTGCATAGATTTCAAAATTTTAATGAATATGTTTTTATTTTGAAGTTACTTGATCTACACGAAAAGAGTAATTATATGGATACAAGGTGTTGTGAAAAGCATAGTTTACTAGTACACTCTATTTCAAATTCTCATTGAACACATCGAATGACACTCTAATTTAAGAGCTCTCATTCTGATAAGATCATTTGAAGCTTCATAGAATTTTGTCACGATTTTACGCAGCCCACGGGATAGGATAGGGCAGATTTTGTTAACTCATTAGACAAAAAAATTAATTCCATCCAATGTCATCCTGAGTCTGATATAGAAACTACAAGATGAACAAGATTTTCGCTGTATAACTGCATTAGGAACAACCAATCGAGACCAGACAAGTGCCGGCAATTAGATTTAGCCCTGACTCACACATTCCTAAAACATCAGCCCGCTATTATCTATTTTTATGCTTATTCAAGGAAGATACCTTCTTTTGTTGAGCACCG